ACTGAGGTACTAACAAATCTCCATGGGTGATGCTCTAAAAATGTCTACAGGTTAGCAGTCTAAAGTTACAGAGGAGGTCTAGTGTGAGAATTATTGCTCTTGCTCTGACGTTCCTGGCGATACCTCACGTATGTGGTTTGAACACTGTTTACATATGTGGACATGGCCTATGTATGCGTTCACCACTACGTGCAAGCACGGGGGGGGACGGGGGGCACTTTAAACTTTTTTTTTTTAAATGTTTTTGGGTTTTTTTGCACTGTCCCTTTAAAAAAAATTGTAATTACATTTATTCTTATCACAAGGAATGCATGCATCCCTTGTGATAGAAGTAATTAGTGACAGGTCCTCTTTATGGAGAAATATGGGGTCAATAGGACCCCACATCTCTCCTCTGCAATGGAAAGCATTAGATTAAAAAAAGGCATTGATCTAGTGCCTTAAAAAAAAAAGAAAATGGCCGGAACTGGAAGTGACATTGCTCCGGACCTCCAAGGGCATAGAGATGAGTGGAGGCCATCTTTCTTTCACTAATCTCTATGCCCTGCGCCGGGATTGGTAGATGGCTTCTCAGGTAAGGCTGCAAACTACCGAGCGGCAGCAGCGAGGGGCAGCAGCGGCGGTGAGGGGTGGGTTTTTTACGACACCTGTATTGGTGCTTTTTTCATATTGGCCAACGGCCGAAAGGGGGTGTTTTCAGCCAAAACGTTTCAGCCACCGAAATGTTGGTGCATCCCTACTAAATACCTTTTCTCATCAGCAGTTAGAGCAATCGTGTGACTTCTATCAGTGTCCAGCTGAGCACTGGTTAAAGCTTGTAGGAGGAGTTTTCTCTGCTCTAGGAGAATGCAGAACCCCTGACCTCTGTCTGGACAGTGCTGATTGGCCCTGTGCTGATAACATGCACTCTCTCAAGAAAAAAAAAAAAAAAACCTCTCTAGCAATACACACCAAACTGGGCATGTGCAGAGTGACTCTACACGATATGACTTATCAGGAGATAAGAGGGGGACACTGGAAGAAGGGGAGGATTAGAGAAGTCAGACTCAAACAGCATTTTTACACAATGTAGAGGATTAGCCCCTTAGGTTCCACAGTGATTATAACAAGCATGCTTTACTACATATACAGACTGATTTTACTGTTTTGAGTTTAGTAACACTTTCAAAAAAGTGTTTAACTGCTTGCCGACCTGCTGCAGTACATTTACTGCAACAGGTTGGCTCGTACAGGTACAATCACGTACCTGTGTGTTGCGGCTTTCTTCCAGGTCTGCTTGTGCACGCACGTGGACCCAGAAGACTGTGCTGTCATTGGCTGCACTACAAGCCTCAGTTGTGATTTATGGCAGGGACCCGCTGATTGGCTCAGCAAATGAGAGAACACAGCTCTCTTCATACAGCAGCGATGTGCTGTTTCTGGCACACTAAGCACACTAAACATTGTTAGATACATATTTAACCCCTTGGTCACCCTAGATGTTAGCCCCTTTCTAGTCAGTGTCATTAGTACAGTGACAGTGTATATTTTTATCACTGATCACTATATTAGTGTTACTGGGGATGTTAGTGGCAGTTAGAGTTAGATTGCCTGCCGCACTATAAGTCACTGATCACCACCATTACTAGTAAATATATAAAGAAATAAAAATTCCAATCTCTATACCATAGTTTTTGGATGCTATAACTTTCACACAAACCAATCACTATACACGTATTGGGATTTTTTTTTTATCAAAGATTTGTAGCAGAATACATTTTTTACAAAATACAGAGTACAAAATTTATAAGGATTTAAATAAAAATTTTTGGATATATTTTATAGGAGAAAACAGAAAAATATATATATATTGTTTTCAAAATTTTGGGTCTTTTTTTGTTTATGTCACAAAAACTAAAAAAAACCCAGTGGTAATCAAATACCACAAAAAAAGCTTTATTTGTGTGAAAAAAATTATATAAATTTCATTTGTGTGCAGCATTGCATGACCGTACAATTGCCAGTTACAGTAGCACAGTGCCGAACTGCAAAAAATGGATTGGCGGTAAAATCTTCTGGAGCTCAAGTGGTTAATATCAATTTAAGCTATGTCCAGCCAGTATTCCCTTCCAATGAGATTGCTTCAGTGACCAATAAGAGTGCTCTTATTAGATGAAGGATAGGACAGGCTTAGATCTGGTGGGGATTAGGCCAGAAAGTGGTGAGGTCAAAGCCCTATTACCAAACAAAAAGCAGTGTTAAACTCGAAATGTCTTTCTTTGAACTCACTATATAACTAAAGTCTTATTTAAACAAATCCCATTCTTCAGTGAAGTACTCTATAACAGCATTCTGATTTGTTGCTGTGATTAACCATACCTAAGTAGCACTTAAAGGGTTTGTAAAGTCAATTTATTTTTCTTTTAAAATAACAAACATGTCCTACTTACTTGCTCTGTGCAATGAGCAGGTACGTATTAAATGTTTGTTAAAAAAAATCTGCCTTTACAATCACTTTAAATTACTGAATAGAAAACCAAAACATCTGACTGTTCCAGAATGTAAATTACAATGTCTTTCTAAGAATTCAATATCCTTTTAAGGTTCACATCCTTTATTACACTTGAAATACATTCTGAAAATGTAATGGATTTTTCATTTGCTCAATGCATCATATAGCTTTTTATAAGTTTACAGTTATCATTATGTAATGTAAGAAGGTGAGACGCTGGCACAGAATATACTGTATATTATAACTGATGGTTAAACGATAAGTAACCTTTTACATTTTATATTATATATTCAACTACTGCCAAAAAGAGAAACAATACTGTACTGTAACAATACTGCATTGTATCTTAATATTTCTGAAATAGCAAGTTATTACAGTTATATAACCTAATTCTTGTTTGTAAAATGACCATGTACCCCCATTATGGTTCATGGAAAACCCTTTTCCTTTCTGTGAAAGAAAGTTGTCTTTTGTGATACCCCCATAATTCTAAGGCAGGCCATAGGTGATGTATTTTTTTTTTTTTTTTGTTCAACCAGCAGGTTAAAAGAAAAACAAAACTGATTCCCCCATCAACACATTCTGTGTTGATGGGGAATCCCTTCCATGGAGCTATTGTATTCTGACAGCAGTGAGAATACAATGATTGAGGCTGCCAGCTATAGCCAGCGGGACTGATTGAACAAAGACAATTTCGACAGGTTGGTTGTAGTCGATCGAGAGGTTGACGTCTGTGCAACTAGCCTGCCCATAGATAAATTGAAATTTGTCCAGTCCCTGCTGAACCGGACGAATTTCAATTCATCTATGGTCGGCTATGGTCTTGCGGATAAGGTTAAATGTATGTTCCTGTGTGGGGTTACTCTAAACCAGGGGTAGGCAACCATTCAGAGGTTGAGGTCTACTTGGAAAATATGGATCAAAGCAAAGATCCCCTGGGGGGCGGCTTAACCCCCCCACAGTAGTGTCCTCTGTCCCCTTTACATCACTCCCCACTGTAGTGTCCTGTACCCCCCAATGCAGTGTCCTCTGCCCCCTGCCCCTACTACAGTAGTGTCTTGTATCCCCAATGTTGTGTCCTTTGCCCCCCTACCCTGCAGTAGTGTTTTGTACTCCCCCCCAAAGCAGTGTCCTCTGCCTCCCTTCACACCACACTCCCCCCCCCACTGTTGTATGCCCCCCCCCAGTAGTGTCCTGTACCCTCCCTCCGCAAAGCAGTGTCCTCTGCCCCCCCTTCACATCACCCCCCCCCCCAACTGTGTAGTGTCCCCTACTCTGCCCCATAGCAGTTTCTCTGCCCCCCACAAAGTGTCCTCTGCCTCTCCATCCCCCAAAGCAGTGTTCCCTGTCCTTTTCTCATCAAGATCCCCCCCCCCACTGTACTTTACTCTGCCCCCCCCCTCCAACAGTGTCTCCTAAGCCTTCCCCCCAGTATCTTTTAAGTCCGCATTCCCACAGAGTCTCCTGTGTCCCTCCTCCCACAGTGTCTTCTAAGCCCCCACCCCATGCCCCCCTCCCACGGTGTCTTCTGTGTCCCCCCACCCACAGAGTCTCCTGTGTTCCCCCTCCCACAGTGTCTCCTAAGCCCCCCCCCAAAGAGTCTCCTTTGCCCCCCCCCACTGTGTCTCCTATGCCCCCCCCCGCTCTGCCTGTAACATGAGAGCAGCGGAGGAAGAACCGCGGTCACGACTGACCTGTCGGCTCCCCATGGTCGACCAATCGATCGCAATCATTGGGTTGCCAACCCCCATTCTAAACCAAGAAAACAGTTAAGGTCCAGTAATGCATAAAAGCTTTTCTCTGGGTAAGCTGTGTTTTCAGTTAGAGTGAAATAGTGACAGAGATGAGCAAAAAGAGTTTATAATTAAAAAACAATTCTTTTTTGCACATGATTTCAAGACTTCACCTTATTCAGCAAGCTAAATATTAATATTCATTTAGCAAATTAATATTCTAAACTATTTTAGTAAATCAGCCCAATAAGTGCCAGGTGCTGACTGCACAATGCCTACAAGGTAAAACCTGATACTTCATATTTTTAATGGCTTATCTTACGTTTTCAGTGCACTGAAGTTGTCCTTTAAAGACAGAACTATACCTGACAGCTCTTTGTGCTTTCATGCGTTAATGACTTTGCTGGGATGTATTAAAGTCTTTTTATTTAACCTAAAAAAATATTTTAATGTAAAATTTAAAATAAATGCGCCCAGGAGCAATATTTCTTTTCCATCTTCCCTCCACTGAAAATCATGGCGTATGCTTATTTTAGGTGGGTAGAACTACTTGACTTATTGAATGATTTCATGATTTAATTACTATTATATTCTTGGTAAAAAGGGGTATAAGGCTATTATAAACTGGTCATATCAATCTATACTCCCAAAACTGATTTTTTATTAAATTAATTTTACCTTTGTAGAAACATAGAACTAATGAGTAAAGATGTTCCCAAAACAGTTTAATACTCGGATAATATTGTCAAAACAAAAGCATCAAATCTTAGACTTACCAGTTCCAAGTACAGGGCACTTTTCACAGTTGGGTCCCCAGGCTTTGCCCACACTGCAACAGCAGAGCTGCCTAGTAAGTTGCACAGACAGAGGATGCATGCATTGCTTTGTAGTGCTCACAAGTCGGTAACATGGCCCCTTCTCCTCAGACACTAAAGGATTATCAGCTGTGGGAAGGAGGATAAATGAAAATTAATGGGGAGATCCACTCCATATTTCCGAAACAGTTTAGATATTATTCTCGCAGATACTAAGCAACAGCAGATTATCTACTGGCATGCTGCTTATACTGGCATGCTACTTATACCAAACCATGACCATATTTTTGTACCCGTCATATAGGTATCTCAACCCTAATAGTGGGTACATGAGCCTGAGAAGTGGAACACCACTTTACTCACTTATTAAAGTGGCACCAAGGACCTTATTTTGTGTTGCTGCATAAAGACTAATATTCCAATATTTCATTGCTGTTCAGGCCACCCAATCAAATAAAAAAATCACAAAAAGTTAAATTGAAGATTAAGGATAAGTCTCTCCATCATGAGAAAAGTGTTGGAAGAACTCAGAGCCAGAAAGAAGATTGAGTTGGCTTTTCCATCCATGGCCACCAAATTTATTACAGCCTTTCTATGCAGTCATCAGGGGCAGGCAGTGTATTGTAGAGTGGGAGAAAAATAGTGTTTATGTTTCAAGATGGTTCATTGGGAATAACAGACTACCCCCCTCATCTTGCTGCTGCCTACCCCTCTTGGGACACAGGTCCCAGGAGACTGATGGACCATTCAAGGGGCATAGTGGACAGCTGGATGTGAAGCTGCAAGGAGTCACAGACGGCTCCCCACAGGTAAGATGCCAAGCGATGGATCCTGGAAAAGGTAAGTGTGTGTTTTTTGAAAGTCAGCAGTTAGAGTAGTTGTAGCTGCTGACTTTTTATTTTTGTTTACATAATGAAGAACCTATTTCATTTGCAACAATGATTCCATAGACAAATACAGATCATTGTTGAACTGCGAATTTCCATGGCTGCAAGTTTGAATACAACAGGCAAAGACTATGGGGTTGATTTACTAAAGGTAGCAAATAGACTATTCACTTTGCAAGGGAATTTTCCCTTAGCTAATTGAATGTGGAGAAAATTCACTTTGTAAAGAATGACATGCAAAGTAGATCTTTGAACATCATTATATGATGAAAGTCGAAAGTGCTAAGTTAAGGGAACCTTCCTTTGCAAAATGCAAATTCTCTTGCAAAGTGAACAGCCTATTTAGTAAATCAACCCCAATGCCTCCTGAACTATTAGAGGTCTTGTGTTATCCATTTACAGCATAAATTACTGGGGTCTACTATGTAATAACAATATTAACCTCAACTCAGGTGTACACATGCAGACGATTAATCCCAGCAATTCTCTTATTCTAGGGCCAGTGCTGGTGGGGAAGTTCAACTTCTATTTTTTTAACACTGTTATCTGTACAACTAAATTCCCAGCTTAAACAACCTGCAGTAACTAGTACTACAATCTGCTACTCAATTTTACAATTCATATACTTTACAGTACAGACAGTATCGTTGCACTAGAAATGCTACATCATCCTCTGGTTACGTCATGGCTGTGGCTAGCTTGAGCCAGCAACCCGACAGTAAAATGGTCACCAGAAACAGAAAAACAATTTCTGAGTTAATGTATTCTGTATTTGAACAAAATTCCCAAGCAGCAGTGGCAAAAGAAAAAAAAAACATTAATTTAGCCTGAACTCCAAGCAGATATTAAAATAAAATAATCAAATAATGCATATATGTATGTAATTAAACTCATTAATGAAAAAAAAATATATATATACAAAAGATATAACTAAACATATATATTTTAAGCACAGCTAGTATAAGAAGCTAAATTTTACTTCAGCCTATAATCCCCATGCCTTGTCAATGTCTCGATTTATGTAGACCATTCAAACATTGATAAGTGCTTGCATATAAAACTATGATTTTTCTATTCTGGAAGCAAATTAAATGACTTATGTATTTATTCTTTTTAGATTCAACAAAAATTTTCCATCCTTGTCCTTCAATTTTTTTTTTCGCTCACTCTGATCGAAACCGATTGTTGAATCTTCCCCTTTAACTTTTAGATAATTGAATGAACATTCTCAAAACAGAAATGTTCTATTTAAATGATACAGGTGTAAGGGCCAGTTCATACCAGGAATCGCACAGGAACAAGAACACTTAAAGTGGAGCTCCACCTAAAGTTCCGCTTCAAGCCTTTGTCCCCCGCTTCCCATTAAGGACTGACACCTTTTTGGAGCGGGGGTGGGGGGGGGGGGGGGGTAATTTAGCGATCGGAAGCAGAAGTTGTCCTCCCCCCTCCCTTCCCGCAGTCTTCTGGGACACGTGATAGGTCCCAGAAGACTACAGGAGCCATTCACAAAGCGCAGCTCTTCTCGCGCATGTGCAGTGGGCACTCGGCTGTGAAGCCGCAAGCTGTCACAGCCAGGTGCCCATACTGAAGATGCCGGCGCCAGGGAGAGAAGACAGCCGGTGAAACCAGTGGTGGTGAAGGTACTACTGGACCGAGGGGCAGGTAAGTGGCTGTATTTTAAAAGTCAGCAGCTACAGTTTTTCTTTTTTTTTTTTAAGGTGGAACTCCACTTTAAAGTGGTAGTAAACGTGAGAAAAATAAAACAAAAACTCTCCCTGCAAGGCAATGTTATAATGTGCTATATAGATGGCATACTAGCACATTATTTATTTATTTCAGGTACTTAAATAGCGCCGTCAATTTACGCAGCGCTTTTACATATATATTGTACATTCACATCAGTCCCTAACCCTCAAGGGGTGTACATTATGAAAGACTTAACTTTAAACTAAGCCCTCCAGCAGCGTGCTGTAACCATCTTTACCCGGTATTCCTTCCAGGTTCAAGAGCTCCAGCCATCTGACTGGCTGAGCTGTGATGATATGACTCCTGCACATGGCACAGTGCTCTAAAGGAATGGCATGGGTATGCGGTCTTCCTTCTGGGTTGCGGTCACTAGACTGGCCAAGCCTCGATCACGTCACTCCCACAACACAGCTCTGAAGGAACGGCACGTGTTGGTGACAACACCGGGTGCTGCTCACTAGAATATCTCTTAAACGGTGCACATTTAGGAGATATTCATTTTACCTACAGGTAAGCTTTATTATAAGGGTACCTGTAGGTAAAAATAAAAAAGTTTACTACCACTTTAAGATTGACATCTACTGAAGATCACAACAGCGATGTGGAAAACGAGCACAGAATACGGGTTTTCTACACTGCATTCTGGTGTGAAGGGCCCTATCTCAAGAAAGAGAGATTGGCAAATCACTATAAAGGCTGGGATGGTTCAAGGAAAAAATGTTATCTAGGACAGATGGTATAAAAAGGAACAATGCTAGAAAACACTGGGGGTTATTTACTAAAACTGGGAAGTACAACATTTGGTGCAGTTCTGCATGAAAACCAATCAGCTTCCAGGTTTTATTGGCAAAGCTTAATTTAACAAGCTGAAGGCAGAAGCTGATTGGCTACCATGCACAGCTGCACGAGATCCTGGGTGCACCAGTTTTAGTAAGTCTCCCCCACTGTACTAAAGGTAATACTATGTAGAACGAATTTTACAAAGTTCTCTTCACTTGTTTATTGGCATCACACCAGTTGCTTGTTAAGGGGTAATATTTCAGCCTTCCTGCCTGTGGTACATATTTCTGATCGTAGAATGCGTGAAACAGCCTGGCAGAGGGATCCAGGACTTCAGGCGAAGGCAAGGTGCCAGTCTCACTTCATGAGACAGCAAAGTGATGCTGAGGTCTGCCAGCCATAATACATTATAAACTACACATTTCAGTTCCAACTTATGGAAGTGAAAAAGACTAAATAAACATGACAGGGAGGATATTTTTTTATAAGCCCAATAAAAAGAAAGACATTGTCAGTTATCCTGTCATGACGGCTCCCTCAGCCTTAGTACAAAGCAGCCCTGCTGTCCGACATTGTGACATTTAAAAAGGGGTGTGCATTTTAATTCCATTTATTTTTAATTGTGGATTGATTGGGCTGTGATGTGAAAGGGTGGACTTGGATTTCTATATATAACGTGGTGTTGGAGGTTACAGCTCCTGACAGTATTAAACCCCAAAACATACATTTATTATATTTCAACTTACCAATTCTCGTGATGTGATGTCTGAATTAGTTTTCTTTTCAGACTGTCATTCTTTATTTTCACCTATTGATCTGAGCTATAAGTCTTTTGTTTTTCAACAGAACAAACTGTCCTGCAGATGTAGCAGTTAGAGGGTTGAACCAAAACATTTACCACTGGTAGGGGTGCTTACAAGGATCAGCTTTTCTTTATGTAAAATTTTTATCCCAAAAGAAAAAATCTGTTTGCTGTAACTGCTTTAAAAGTGTTAGCAGAAGTTTGACTTCAATTTGTTTAGTGTATTTAACTCTTCAAGTGCATCTAACACGATTCTGCCCCTAGATTAATAATGCTACTTGCCAGATCAGACTAAAAAAAAAAAAACCTATGCAGCCAGATCTGATTGGTAAGGTGCAATATAGTACATTTGTGGTTTGGGACTTATTTTGGTTTTAAAGGCTTTATCATTTTCTGCATTAAGTAAAAAACCTTCTGTGTTCTGCTCCCCCCACAGCCTCCCTAAACATTTACCTGATACCTGAGCTCAATCTTGATCCAGCGCTGTGCCTCTCTGCTTTCTCTCTCTCTATCCTCACTAGACATGGACGCAGCAGTTGGAGCCATTGGCTCCTGTTGCTGTCAATCACATCCTGTGAGGAGACCGCGGGGTGCCGGGCTGAGCCTTGCCGTGTGTATCAATAGGCACACAGAGTGCAGCTCGGGATTGAGCTTGTATGAGTGTCCCCATAGAGATTATGCTAGGGCACTTGGAAGAATGGAGGAGCCAGGTGTGTTGGCGGGGAGCCTCAGAGAATTGGGGCCGCTCTGTGCTAAACCACTGCACAGAGCAGGTAAGTATGATATGTTTATTTACAAAAAGCCTTTAGAATCACTTTAATACTGCTTTAAAGCGTTAAGAAAGGCAAATGTTTTAATTTAAATAACAAACATGTTATACTTACCTGCTCTGTGCAATGGTATTGCACAGAGTG